GGGTAAGTTTCCGATGGCAGGGGATCATAGTTCCTTTAGCTTTTTAAGGAATTGGAAGTTGCAAACAATAAAGATATTATCTTAAGGGAAGAAGACTGACATTATTGCTTCAATCACAGTATAATAGGTTTATCCTTTTCTTCAACAACAACCACCATGCCTGAACCCAAGCTATTTGGGGTCAGCTGTATGAATCCTTATCATAAATACTCTGTTGGGTCAACGTGGAATATTGGTTTTCTTTCCATTTGATGGATTATAGACATAGTAAGCACGAGTAATTGGCATCTTCATGCTTTTGTACATGCGTATTAATGATTTTATCCTTTTTCGGTTAATGGCCATAAATGTTTTGTTGAAAGGCTTCTCCCATTTCATTTTTCAACAATTTATGTACTATTCCCCCATAGAGGTGTTCCAACAAGGAAGAAAGAGAGAGAGGGGGCGCTGGAACGAAGTCCTTTTTCTTATGTTTGGTTCCTAACATCCTCTTTCCGCAGGAATCAGGGTCAACATTGGACCATGCCGATAAGTTTCCTGTAGGCACTAAAGTACAAGCTGTTTGGAGTGAAGATGGGGAGTGGTGAGTAGAAACTTCTGTGGTGATTGCTCTTTTTTCTTTTCTGTTTTCAATTTTTGAAGTTTTTATATTCTCTTCAATTATTCTTTACCTTTTCTTTCTCTTTCTTCTTGTTGATTTAGTTGATTTTCCAGGTATGATGCCACCATTCATGCACATACTCCAAATGGCTATTATGTTTGCTATGATGACTGGGGTAACAAGGAAGAGGTATTGCCTTCTTTTTATGCTTTAATGGAAGTGTCTTGATTGGCTTTAAAGCTGTGTTTCAGTTTTTCTTTTATTTTTTCTTCTCTTTTAAATTTTTTTCCTTTGTTGTTTTTCATCTAAATGGTCTGTGATTTTGTTTGTCCTTCTAGCTAGGCTAGGCCATATCTCTTTTCCAGCTTCTCTGTTGTCTTTAGTCTAAACCAAAGTGCCAACAAAGGAAAAAGGAATTAAATTTTATTACTTTTAGTTCAATAACTTTAATTAATCAAAATATACACTTATACATGAGGTAATATATATTTATTGGCTGTATCCTAACACCTTTATCTGCACTCGGATCCTAAATATTAAGTGATGAAGAATCCGACCTCTAGATCCGCACCCGTATACGGTGCCCGCCGCCAAGTCCGACCAACATAAATATGTTGACGGAAGTATGCAAACATCACAAGAATAAGTCTGGTGATATGCTTATTCTGCTTATTTAGTTGTTAATTGATAAAGAAACTGTGTTTGCAAGGGGGGTTGTCCATTGTAGCCAAACAATAAGTCCAATTGTTGTCATAATAATATAATAACAACAACAACAATAATAATCATCATAATAATAATAATTATTATTGTTATTGTTGTTGTTGTTATTTTTACTATAAAAAGGCAGTTATTTGGTGATAAACCAAGGATTAAAAATCTCTGTCTGTCTTGAAAATTGAGCATAGGTTATGGGGGACTGTTAATTTAACTATGTAATCACAAGTAAGGATTGAGCTGTTAATTTTGCTTCTTTAAGCGTGTGCAGTTGTTGTGGTTGCCGGCTTCCAGGTTCTACTTCCACCATGACTGCTGCTTTTCATAAAGTCTGTTTTTGGGTTATGAATTTGGTTTAGTTCTCGTATTGAAATTAAGAAAGAAAGGATTGCTTCCCTTTTTGGTAATTCTTAGCAGTTCTGTTCTAGCCTTCTAGGCTGCTCTGGATTATAGCATATTTTAAATTGTTGTCTTGTTTTTTCTCTGATATACTAATGCAAAAGGACAGTGCGTCAAGTATTAGTGTAGTATTAGTTGTAAGATTTGGAGAATAATCGTTTCAGTGTATCATACATGTATATATAGATGCTGAAATGAAAGTACAGTGAGATGTGTGTTAATGCCAATATCGTACTGTCACAGACACAAATACACAGACACGGTGTGTGTGTGTGTGTGTGCGCGCCCGCGCGCTCCATCTAAAGATGTTTGTCTACTTTTATTATTATTCATCAAGTGTTGGAGTTATTTTAGATTAGTGTAATATCAACTTGTAATTTCAGGTGGATCATGCTAATATAAGACCACTTCAAGAGGGACCTGTCAACCCTTTGGTTGAAGCAGAAAAGATAGCTGAGGCCACAAAACAAGCTCTCAAACGAAAGATAGCTCAAGCTGCAGCTAGTGATGTCCAATCGCGGAGTTTGCCAGCAAAGCTTCTCATTGATCCTAATGATCCAGAAGATGTGGTATGTTGAATGTTTAATTTAGGGTTGTCTGTTGTTTTTTGCCCAATAATTTACTTCAGAAATATGATTGGGGTGGAGGTCTGAATCTTGGGTTGATAGATAGGACAGGCTGTTTGTTGGGATCTATTTTGCTTAAAGTAGGCCTAATTTTCTTGAGATTAGCTCTGCACCATCTGCAGGCTGGGCTAGGTACTATAGTTGCAAAGCAGTTTCAAGTAGCCCAACATACTGAAAGTAAAAGTTAAAAGGCTTCATTAAACAGGGTCTAATTGGCTTTTGTACGTGGTGACTAATCCACCTTTACTTGCTTTCACCTCTTGCCTTCTGTTGTTTGTTTATTTGCAAAAAAATGTTTTTTTTATATTTTATTTTCATCCCTGCTAATGACCTCATCTTTATTCTTCATAGAAAGCTGCCAAACGTAAAAAGATTCATGCTTTCAAGTCTAAGATGCGGATTGAGCAACTTGAGGTTGCTCAAAACAAGAGGCAAAATGCTTGGCAACAATTTCAATCAACTAAAGGTCAGACTAAGAAGGTATGCTGGGCCTGGTCACTTATTCTCAGGTTGATAAGCTCATGTATGAATCACAATTTAAAGAGATTGTGCCTACTGTGTAATATGATGATTGCTCTTTCTATTGTATTTCTCACTTCTATCTTATCAAAAAATTATATTTCTCACTAAGAATCACATGCTCTTCATGTTCATAAGCAACTCTATGATTTTACTTGTGTTTTTAAAAATCTGCATTTATTTGCAAAGTACTTCACATTGCTATTGGATATCTTTCCTGTAGTTGTCTTCGTTATTCATAGTTGTGTTTGGTCTTAAAGTAGTAGCCAGATCTGCATGGCACTACCGCTTATATCATTGTATTATTTCTAAAGCCTTTTAAGCTGCTGATATCTTATGCCTTGCTAATGTATTAATTATATTTCAGGTGGGATTTTTCTCTGGTCGAAAGCGTGAGAGTATCTTCAAGTCTCCAGAAGATCCTCATGGTAAGGTTGGTGTAACCGGAAGCGGCAAAGGCTTGACAGATTTTCAGAGAAGGGAAAAACATTTGCATCTAAAAGGCGCAAATGCCGAGGCTTCTGATGAATAGATGCTGGTCCCCATAGTTTTGCAAGACCATTGTCCATCTGCTGCCTAAGTTTAGAAGGTGTCATACCTATATGTAAACATATGTTTCTCTCCAATTTCTTTAACGTGATGCTGCATAATAGGATTATAGTCTTCTCTTAATATGCGGTTAGAAATTTATAAATCCTACGTTGGAAGAGCATGATTTTATGGGTAAAAAATCAACCTCTGACAAATCTCATCTCTGATACCCCTTTGGATACATTCTCATTTGACTGGGCCTTGATTCTTCTTGAGACAGTCAGATGGCAGCTTCTCATACTTGTATGCTTTTATCTACTTCATCCATTAAGGAACTGATGGTCAATAGATGGATAGAGGATTGTTAGCCTAATAAAGGCCTTCAATTGAGTTCATTTGCATAGAGGAAATAGAATGAGGAGACAGAGAAAGAGAAAAAGCAAATATAAGGATAGTATTTTGGTCGTTGGTAGGGGTGGCAAACGGGCGGGCCGGGTTGGATATGAGCGGGTCAAAACGGGTAATTTTAAAAAATAGACAAATTATCCGACCCGACCCGTATTTGAGACGAATAAAAACGGGTTTATCCGGCAGATAATATGGATATCCATATTATCAATGGCTTCTTAAGTATGATTAATTATGAGGGAATTTCTTGTCTTCCAAACTTGAGGAACTCCAATTTGAGGCTTTACCAATGTAAAAGTTAAAACACATTAGTTATCCATTTGGTTAATCATTTTCTAAGTGGATAATATGGTTCTTTATCCATATTTAATCCGTTTTTAAATGGTTCATTATCCAACTCATTTTTTGATGGATAATATGGGTGGATAACTGTTTTTTTTAAACCATTTTACCACCTCTAATCGTTGGTGTATACATCTGAACATAAATGACCCCTAATAGTAATATTGACTGCATCATGATTAGGTATAAATAATTTTTGTACGATCGGTATAATTTAGTCTCAGTGGTAGACGATAGCTGGCCTTATTTTTGTCGGTTATTAAGCCCGTTATTTTTTTATCACCAGATAGTGCTAAAAAAAACATAGTGTAAAAAGAATTTATACTATCAATATACAAAACTTAAACTCATTCGCATAATTGTCACGACGGCATCATCAACAATAAAAGCTCGATTTCCTCCTTGATTTGCAGTAAATTGTGCGGGTCAGCCTTGTATTTGCCCTTAGAATATAGGTTGCTTCAGCAATTAATTCTATTCGACAAGTTCCCTTATTTCACAAGCTAAAAAATGCCCTTAATTTGATGGTGACATTTAATGCAATATACAAATACATGATCATAGAACACACTTCATGAAAAGTACTTCCATCAACATCTAGGCTAGGTTTATCCATTCCATCAAAGAAAAGAGAATGATAGTAATAATTGAAAGAATTAAGTCATATCAATAGCAGTTGTATTACAAGAAACTATAATACATATGATGACCAAAAGTATGGAACCAAATATTTTTTCATAAAAAAAGAATAATGTATGGAGGGGCCATTGTAACCCTTTTAGTTAACATATTAATGAGCAATGAAGCAGTGGTTTATAAGAGGGAGGGCCTATCTCCAACATAAAAAACATGTCTCAGACATGTTTCTTTGGAGAAGAGAGGAAACAACAGTATAATGAAGACATCATCTTCAAAAGCTTACTAGATTTTCCATTGGAGTAATCTATGTTTGTCCTTTTCCTTTCACCATAAAAAAAAAAGCCCCACCTTGCCCTTTTCACTTACTCTTTTTGACTTTATGCATATTTACTTTCATTATGTTCCATGAATATGCACCACATAGCAGTTTTTAGACTTGCTTTAGGGACCCTTACTTCTGTTTTTTACTGGAAAAATTTGCTTACACTCGATATTTACATCAAATTACATTAATTTATTACCAATAGTGATAAAACATAATGATGTTAGAATTTGTATTTACTGATATATACTATGTATTTATTGAATTAGTACTCCCTCCGTTCACTTTTACTTGGCATGTATACTAAAAATAATGTTCACTTTTACTTGGCACTTTACGCATATCAAGAGAAAACAAATTTTTTCCTTTTTTATTCACAGTATTTATTACTCATTTCAAATTATTTTCTCAAATTCAATAAAATATGCATCAATTAATATGGGTATCATGGTAAATTATGTACTTCATTTATTATTTCTTAAGGAGCGTGAAAAGTCAAAACGTGCCGAGTAAAAGTAAACAAGGGAGTATAAAGGAGTCTGATTAAGTTTATTGTACTAACTTTCTGCTATATTTTTGTCATTCAAAAGCGAGTGAATAGGTCCACAATTTTCTGCATGATCGAGGAAGTGATATTTGATGTACCAGAGAAATTAAATACATTGAATCTTGTAATTGGAAAGCTACCCAATTCTTCAAAGCCAGAGGCTCGTGGCCGGAGACTGAAGACTAGAAGAACCTTTGAAAAGGGGACCTCCTTTTTTCATCAAATTATATGCAACTTCAAAACTGTTTTATACAATCAAATAAAATTGGTTTTATTTCAGTGTAAGTTCTATGCATGGGGGGTGCTAAAAATATTCATAATTAATATATTTATGAGATAATTATATATAAATTTCTATGATAAGTATTACTCCCTCTGGTCGACTTTAACAGCTTGTTTGAATGGTTGTTATGTATTGTATTGTATCGTTTTAATGTATACAATGTTTGGATAGATTGTATTGTTTTATATCGTTTCAGGATGTCATGCACCAACAATATAATATGAAGAGCAAAGTTGCAATATAATAAAGAAAAAGTAAGGTACGAGGTAGAATTATTATATAAAAAGGTAGGGTAAAGGATAAAATAAGATTATTTAATAATATAGAAGGGTAAGATGAGAGGGAAAAAAAAAGGGAACGACGTGACCACACCAAATTGGTCGTTCTATAAAGTGGCACTTTTCATCGTTACATAACGACAAATTTAACGATGTGATACAATAAAATTTAAGTAACAATACGATACAATACAATAGGTAACAACCATCCAAACAAGCTGTAAGTGATGTTTTGGCCTTTTTTTGTGGTCCATAATATTTAATTTTTTCAGATATCAAGAAGCAATTAACTTCTTCTTTCCAAAGTTGCCCTTGGAGTAAAGAGCCTAGAAGTAGTTTGTTATATTTCCAATGAGCAAATTAAGGTTAATATTGTCGATTTCTTTGTTAATTAATGCTAAAATGTGAATATCTTAATATGTGTGAAAAAAGCCAAAAAATCACTTAAAGTGGATCGGAGGGAGTAATTGCTAACCTGATAAAATTGGTTACTAGCAAAAGTTAACCTACACTGCTAATGTAACATATCTTACACTAAGCTCCCGTTTGGCCATAGATTTTGGCAACTTTTTTTCAAATCTTTTTTTGAAAATATTGTTTGTTCATAGATTAATGATCTATTTTTGAAAAATTTCTGAAATTATTTTTCAAGTTCCCAAAATCTAGTTTAGGGTAGTTTTTGGGTGAAACTTGTTCTCCCACTCACAAAACTTAAAATTTTTTTCAAATAAAATGCATGTCCAAACATAATTTCAACTTCCAAAAATTATTTTTCAAAACTACTTCAAAAATTATTTTTTCAAGTTTCAACTAAATCTATGTCCAACGCTAGCTAAGAGTACATATAACTTGGAAACAAGGTTTCATATAACCAACCAATAACAGGATTACATCCATGATTAATGGATTTTTTTTAGACATTTACATGTTGTAATCACCTAAGTAGAGTTATATATCATCATTGCCATAGGCACCATTGAGAATTTAGAGAAAATTATTTCCTTACAAGTACATAGTAATTCCATTAATTAATTATGCTATACTATCATCTCCAACAACTTTGGAATTAAAATCTTGCTGTATTGTTGCTGATGTAGTTTGATTTTTGGAATACCATGTAGCCCAAAACAGATAGTTGAAGAAGTTGAGAAAGCTCAGTACTGCCAGCAACCAATAGAAAAGATCAAGTCTGTCTTTGTTGAGATTATTGTCACTAAGCCAGCCACCATGTGATGAATTTGAAGTGATCTTATTCACTAATGAAACAAGAACTGAGCTTAAATAAAAGCCAAATGAATATGAGCAATAAGTAATGGCTGTTAAAAAGGATTGCATCCCTTTTAAAGATTGTTTGTAAAAGAACTCAATAAGTCCAACTGCAGTGAACATTTCAGATAATCCAAAAATCAAGAATTGTGGGGTTATCCAAAATATTGATATGGTTTTATTTTCGTTCACTGCAGAAATTCTCCTTTTGTTTTCCATTAAGGCTGCTGATACCATGGAGAAAGTCGCTATAAATAGGCCAAGACCTATACGTTGCAGAGGGGTGATACCTGTTGAGACGACATAATATAAATAAAATAATTAAAAAATTATACTCTTTTTGACTGGTTAAAATTTTAAATAAAACGCTCACGTATTTCAATAATACCTGAATCATGACCGGTGAATTTTCTCGCAAACGGGACGAAAAATGTATCATAGAGAGGGACTATGAAGATTAACAATATGTAAGGAATTGATTGAAGAGAAGCTGGAGGGATATGGAAATTTTTAGTTAGTTTAGTGTTCATGGCACTTCCTTGTTGTACTGAAAAAGTTTGAAGTTGTGCTAAAATGGTATTGAAAATTATAGTGCAAGCAAAAATGGGAATGACTGAAATTAGGATCTTCACTTGCTCTACTTGTGTTACTGTGCAAAGTCTCCATCGACTGATTTCTTTTGTACTGTTATTTCCATCTTGCACTTTTATACAAGCCTTGTCCAAGAATCTGAAAAATAGAAGGGAAAAACAAAAAGGTTTTTCTACATAATTAGCGTGGAAGAATATACCAAAGTAGTACTAAATTATGATTATAATTTTGCCTTAAAATTAAATCAACATTAAACAAAGAATGTGGTAAGTGGCGAATTCCTACTTTAGATATATCATTGCATATAGTGTCCAAGTAGAATATTATGATGATAATATTACCGTGTGTATCAAGCGCTTATCGCGAAAAATTATATAGTTGATAGTAATGGTGTAACTTTATTTTTTAACCTATCCCACCAAACAAGCTCATGTTCGATCATGACTCCGATCCGGACCACCCCAGCTCTCTCACGAGCCTTGCTATAGACATAATGATGTTAGCGTTACCCAACAATTACTAAAAACGTATGTGCTAAATAATTTATTGAACTATCACGTCACCTAATAAATAACTATGGTCTATAGGTTATATTGTTTATAAGAATCCTTAAATGTACGTA